TGTGTGTGTGTGTGTGTGTGTGTGTGTGTGTGTGTGTGTGTGTGTGTGTGTGTGTGTGTGTGTGTGTGTGTGTGTGTGTCGAGGGGAAACAACACACTTTTTGCATTGAGGGGCATCTCTTGTTTTTTGCACATTCTCCGCTCCTCAGCGCAACCCCCAACGTATTGCGCTCAGCTGAGCACAGCGGCAATGGAGCGTGCGCAGTTGTGCAGCGACATGCGCGTTTGCTGCGTCACTGCATCAGAATGATGCTGCAGCAGGTCCCGAAATTCACCCCCTTCTGCACAATTACAAACCCCTCCCCGGTCCCCATCCGAACCCTTGTCTCATCTTCCGCCACAAACCCATCACTCCCGCCCCTGCCCCTCCTCCCCCCACATTGCCCTCGCACTCTCACACTCACTTAACCCCCCTTCCCTGTTCTCACGGCACCCTCCACACACACCCCCACAAAGCACCCCTCTCACGTAGTCCAGGTCTTGACGCGGTCACCAAACTTGGCATACGCCACCTCAGCAAAGTACTGGAAGTCGTCAACGAGCTGCCGGCTCATGAAGCCCTGGCAGAGGGTTTGTGGGTTCATGTTTTTGGGTGGGGGGAGAGAGAGGGCAAGCAAGGGTTCGAATTCAACAGGCTGGGCGTCGTGCCTGACAGTTTTGGACCGGGGCCGGGATTGATGACATCGAAACCGTCTGAGTGGAGGATTTGCGGCCCAAAAAAACAGTGTCCGAGGCGCGCCCGGAACGAGGGCAGTGGATGGCGGGCGCGGCCCGCCCACCTCGTATGCGTCCTGGTTGGCCTGCGGCAGGTCCCAGTGGTAGAGGGTGGCAGCGGGGGCGATGCCGTTCTTCAGCAGCTCGTTGATGAGGGCATTGTAAAAGTCCACGCCCTTCTGGTTGACGGCGCCGCCCTTGCGGCCGCTGGGGACCAGGCGGCTCCAGCTGATGGAGAACCTGGGTGGGTTTTGAAGTGTGCGTGTGCGTGTGCGTGCGCGCGTGTGTGTGTGCTCAGTGGCATGTGGAAGATGAAAGGTTGAGCAGGTGACAAGCGAAGCCCATGCCAAGGGGGCACCGACGCACACGGGGCGGGCGTGGCTGCCCGCCGCTCCCGCGCCGTGCTCATGAGTCGGAAGGGGCCGCCCGCCGCAACCCGCCAATAAAAAATCGCGACATTCCTGTCACAGGCCGTTGCCGCATCTGCCTCGGTCCGCGCCCTGCTGCACGTTTGCCGCCGCGCCTTCGCCGTCGCCACTCGCAGGCCACACCAGCTGCGGCCACAAAAACCTTGTATCGCCCCCCAATCCTCCCCCCAAGAGTGCCCGAGCCACCCATGTGTCCCCCACCTGTAGTTCTTGACACCCAGTGACTTCATGAGAGCCACGTCTTCCTTGTATCGGTGGTAGTGGTCGCACGCCACCTGGGGGCGGAGGGGGCGAGAGGAGGGGGGTGAGCATGGTGTGTTTGTAAGAGTGCATGCGTCGTGTGTGAACTTGTATGTTCTGTGTATGTGTATGTGTGTGTGTGTGTGTGTGTGTGTGTGTGTGTGTGTGTGCAAAATGCATTGGTTCAGAGTCTTCGCACATCTTTGATAACGTGCGCCCGCCAGCAGACCAAAGGTGAGCGGTGTGGCGAGAGGAAACCCTACATCCCCCGTCGATCGCAGCTGCCACGTGGTCCTCCCCCCCCCCACACACACACCCACCAAGGTGCGCACACGCCTACCTTGGCGTTCGAGCCGTCCCTGATCTCCCAGGGCTTGTTCTTGACATATGTGTCCCAAACGCTGGGGCTGCGTCCGTCTATGTCGGTCGCGCCCTCCATCTGCGCAGCCGCGAGGGGGCACGCCCCGGGGGTGAGGCCGAGATGTCGAAATCAGCATGCTCAGCTTTGCCGCCAAGCACATTGGGGGCCTGGGTCCACCAACCGGCGCCCCACGCGCGCCGCGCGCCGCTGCTGCGCCGCAGTCCGGGGGGGCGGCAGTCCGGAGCGCCGCCCGGCCGCCGCCGCTGGCAAGGCTATCCAGGAGACGCCCAAGCAGCAAGGCCCATCACTCCCATGCGGCTGCCGCAGCGCCCCGGGCCGCTACTCATGGCGCCATGCCAGCACCATATGTGCCTGTCACCCCAGGCACAGCTCGGGCGGCCCCAGTAGCTGCAGCGTCACCAGAGGGTTGCCACCCCCGCCCAGTGAATGACTCTTCGCACCTGATATGCCGAGCCCGCCACACCCCAAGCAATTGAGTTGAGGTCTTCAGCTGAGCAGCTGGCAGGCGGCCCTTGCTGTGCGCGCGCCTGCACGAGCGCGATGTCGGTGGGGCGTGGCCGGGGCGATGCAGCGCGCGCGCCTTCGGTTGGGAGGGTGTTGGGCTGAGTCCTGTGCAGACGGCGCACACGAGGCGCATCGCATGCCGGCATATGCACGGCACTGCTGTGGGTCCCAGCGATTGCTGGGCTTCTCAGAGGCCATTTGGGTGCTCGGACGGGCCGCGGAAGTGCTGGCAGGTGGCACCGGCAGATCCATGCCGCGGCAAGCTGGGGCTTGCCCTACTCGCGGCCATCTAAAAACATCGTAGCATGTTGGATTCAGATTCCTGCATCACCCCTGCTTCATGTCACCCGCTTCAAAGAGCACGTCCAAAAGTCGTCCATCAGAGACCCGCCACCCACCGCGCTCGCTAGGGCCAGCAGCACGACCACCACAATCCTCATGGTGGTCGTATCCCTAATAAGTGACCCGAACCGGATTCAGGCCCCGGTCTAGGCGTCCCAGCTGCTGCAGCCGGGTTGTTCGGTGTTCAACCACGTCGGAAGGAGCCGTGGGCTATGTTTATTTGATTGAAAGTTCAGTAATGCGGATTCGGAATCACTTTCGGCCAGAAATTTGCCCCCTTGCGAGCCTGGGGAGACACCTTCCCACGATGACGAGCACCACCCCGCCGGCTGCTTGTGCGGGTGTGTCGGCTGGGGCGGTGCGTGGCGGCAAGCCCGCGCTGCCACCCCTCCTTCTACACTGGCGCCCTGCCCTCACACCGGGCATATCTTGGTATCGCAAATCAGCTCTCGCCTGCCCAGGTCGCCGAGCATGCGCCCACGCGAGCGCTGTGCTGGCAGCCGCCACAACAGCGGCAGTCCGAGCCCGCCCCTCTCGCGCCGATTAGCGGGGGCTGATGCCCACCCTCGGCCCCCTGCCAAATCCTGCAGCACGCGCCCACAGCTGCTGTATAAACATTGTTGGAGAAATCACGTGGTTTCGCGTGTGTTTACTGACATGAGGAGAGCGTGCTTGCGCCTGCAGCAGCCGTGCGGCTGAGGCATGCAAGCCTGCGCTGGGCCCGGCGGCGAGGGGGGTGGCGTAATGTTATAGAGGGGACCATAATGGTACAGCCATGCCAATGTCTGTTGGCATGTCGATAAGCCGGTGGTGAGAGTACAAAATCAGCCCTCAAGCCAGAGAGTAGGGTACAAAATCAGCCGCAACGCGCTGCAACGGGGGGCGCCCAAGGAGCGTGGCCTAAGCGGTACACTGGTTTTATAGCAGCGGCCGGCGGCGCTGCATGGTGCTTGCTGTTGGGACCCGGACCCGGTTATCCGCGAGGGGGGCGATGAGGGTGCGCTGGGTGCGCGGGTGAGTGTGGTGTCCTGGGGCGTTGTGTGCCGAGGCGGCTGGGGCGATGGGCTGGGGAGCCGTGCTGCCGTGGCCCGGACTGCCTTGGGGGAGGGAGGGTCGGGTAGCACTGCAATCTCTGGCTGATTGCGTCGCTGCAAAAGGCTGGGGCCAGCAACCGCAGAGTGTGTGTGGCATGCCAAGGGACAAAGTGGAGAAAAAGCGTGCAGCGCGCTCGAAAACGACTGCCGTGGCGGCAGCGACTGCGAAGCCAAAAGTCGGCAGAAGGGCGCCGCGCCGAACGCGCGCGCGCCCTGCGCCAGCTGGGTGTGCAGGAGCAGAATGCAGGGCTGGACCCAAGCGACCACATGCCATGCGCTTGCTTGGGCCCAGGGCGCCGCGCCACCGCGACGCTGCGCGCGGGGCGGGGCGGGGGC